AAATAGAGCTTAATGTTTATATGTGTTTTTTCAAAGATCTTTGATGATCTTTGAACAATGAACTTTCTCTCTCTATCTACTAACTAGTTTTTCTCTTGTGATTCAAGTTCTCAAGTTGTGATTCAAGTTGTAATTTGCCAATACCAACAACTCTTTATATAGAGTATGAAGGGTTGCAATGGTTAGCACCAATATTTGCAACTATTAGTAATAACAATTGCAATGGTTGGAGAAAAGTTGCAATCATTCTTCACCAAAGATTTAAATCATCAATGGTTGCAAGGGTTTATCACCAAAATGTTGCAATAGATCATCACTAGTAATTACAATAAAAACAGTTGCATTTGTTCATTTAAACAATTGCAATGCTTCACTTTAATGGTTGCAAGGATTCACTTAAATAGTTGCAATTGTTCATAATTGCAATGATTCACATGCTACATTGCATCTAGTCATTTCAATATATAATGATACATTGTATCTAGTCAGTATATAATGATACATTGCATCTAGTCATATAGATATATTATGATACATTGCATGTAGTCACTTAAATATCCAACAATCCTCCCCCATTTAAGTGTACTAATAGATTCATTAAATAAATAATACATATATCAAACTCATGCATAGATGAAATGTTTGAAGAATTAAATTTTCATCTTAGTGTAATACATATTCCAAATGCCCGAGAATCCCTCAACCCATTTTGAGCACATGAAGATAATACACACACGTGTTTCCACACTACTCTAAGTGTTTACTCGACACTCTTATAAGCCATGTGTCTTAATCCGTTCTTGAATGTATACAAATCCAAGTCTCAGCTTATTGAAGCGGCATCACTTCACATTCATATAGGTAAATACTTTCACTCATGCACCTGCAAATGCATTTTTTCAAAGTATTTATTAAGAATAATATTTCAACCTATCTCTTTCTTGCAGGTCCAAGCACATACCTTGGAATGAAATTAAAACAAAAATTTGCTTCAATCTTTGAGTGTAAGCTTTCCACATTGAATTCAGCCACTAACGTCGTATTAGAGGGGAACTGGGTATCCCACCTTTAAAGATTTCAAATAGACTTTAAACTCATCTCATTAACATACTCAACTACCAAGTCTCTAGCTAATCATTTCGTCAAACGATATGCTATCTTTCTTTCAGACCGAACAACCTCTTTGGTAATCACCTATGAGTGATCAGCTCCCATACTACGCTATATCTAACGCCAGGTGTCGCGACTTACCATTATACACTTAGTTATAAACCTTAACCAAGACTTTTTAACTATCAAAGATAGAAACTGATGATACTATTTTAGCCAAAACAGAATCTCGTAAATTAAATTCTTTAGTCAATATTATGTTTACTAGCATATGCTAATGCTACAAATTTCTATTTTATAGTCAATTTTTTCATGCAACTTTGCTCCTTGGAAGCTCATGAAATGGCACCTCTCCGAGCAAATACACTCAACCACTTATAGAAGACATTCTTCTATATGGATAATCAAACTTGCATCTAAATACTCTTCTACCATGGAAGAAAATCTGACATATAACAAACCATAAATTATGGTTCCATTCAAACACTCGAGTTGTGATATTGATTGTCCTCTATAAGACCCAAATTTCACACTTGCATCCTTGGTAGTTCTCATTGGAGAACAATCTCACAATCAAACTTCTTAACAACTTTCTCAATATAATGAGATTTTGTTAAAGATAGTTTTTTATTTGTATGTGTGATTCAAATTTCAAGAATCACATCCACATTTCCCATGTCTTTCATTGTAAAACTTGATGAAAATAATGCTTTTGTAAGCTCTAATTATCTATGGCTAGTGCCAAAGATCAATATGTCATCAACATATAAGCAAATGGTTATTCCATTACTGGATTCAATTTGTTATATAAACACTTATCCTAGTATTTTAACTCAAACCACTTGATAAGACAATCTCATTAAACATTTGATGTTACTGTCATTGTACTTTCTTTACCATACAAATAAATGTATATATTTTATACTTATTACAAGGTACAATAAAACCTTAAGGCTATTTCACATACTTTTTTTGAGCCATCAATCCATATCATGGATCATAGTACATAGCACCCGACCATGAACAATATGTTTACCACTCATGATAGCTCGGCGTTAACCCTAATGACTTGCATCCATAAGTATCAATGAAATTATGTTCGCACCCTTTTGGTAACATTATGTTCGCACCCTTTCGGTGACGTTACATTCACATCTTTTTGGTGATGGTACATTCGCACCTTTTCGATCCCGAACCATTCGCACCCTTTCGGTGGCGAACCATTCGCACCCTTTCGGTGTCGAATCGTTCGCACCTTTTCGGTCTCGAATCATTCGCACCCTTTCGGTCCCGAACCATTTGCACCCTTTCAGTCCCGAACCGTTCGCACCCTTTCGGTCCCAAACCGTTCCCTTTGGTGGCATCCATTGATGGCATCTCTTGATGGCACCCTTTGGTGGCATCTTTTGATGACACCCTTTGGTGGCATCCTTTGATGGAACCCTTCGATAACATCCTTTGAGTTTCCCTTCGATAGCATCCCTTGATGGCACCCTTTAGTGGCATCCCTTGATGACACTCTTTGGTGGTACCGTGTTTGATCATCATTAGCAATATTATTTAAAATGAAATTAACATACCTTTGAGAATATAGCAATGATGTATTATTCTCCATTGTTTCATCTTCTTTCTCCATTTTCAAAAGTTTACTCACTCAAACATTTACAACTTTTCAGACTTTGATTTATCTCTTACACAAATATACTAGTCATAGTTCACAAGAAATTACTCTTTAAGATTGTTGGTTATTTTGGGTTTTTGTAACCCAAATGGGTGTGAACTATATACATTGTTCAACTTGAGTTACAACTTGACAACTTGAATCACAACTTGAGAACTTGTACAAGAGAATCTAAAAGTAGTTAGTAGATAGAGAGAGAAAGATTCATTGTTCAAAGATCATCAAAGATCTTTGAAGAAACACATATAAGCATTAAAGCTTTATTTGTTATTCTTGTATCTTAGCCAAGAATAAGAATGTGACTTTGATTGTCTTATCCTACAAAGGGATTTTGTGTAACCCAAAGACTTGGAATATGGTTGAAATACTCTTTTAGAAAAACATGAGAATTTAATCATTATCCAAGTATATAGTTCACACCCATTAGAATTACTAAAACCTCAAAATAACCAACAATTGGTTCACAAGGTTAGAAAATCTGCCTCTGAGGTGGTTAAGATACTGCCGATGATAAGATTTTGAATGCAATGCATGTATATTGGGTTAAATGGGGAGTGGCTTTAGGTCTGGCAGATGCCAGAAGGCGTCTACCACAAGCAATTTTGCCTCTTTTTCTTCTTTAGTTGTAAAGAGGCGAAAATTCAAAAGAAACTGATAAAGTTGTAATACAACTTGCAAAGCCGTTGTATAATTCTCTTCCTTGAAATCGGGTATGATGATGGTGTGAGCAAATGCACAACACACCAATAAAAAACCAAAATAATTCAAGCTTTTTTGTGGGGAAAATGATCATTTAAATCTTCAAGTATTTGAAATTAACATTTTTATTCCTCAACTATTGACTATGCAATTAAAATCTCAAAGTGGTAGTTGACTTTATAAAATTAGGCCCCTAATAAGTTCACGTTCAATTGTTAACGGTGAACGTTAGTTTACCTCATAAATTTCTTTTTAATAACTCTTTCATCTTTCCAAATCTTTTCTATTGTTATGTTCTTCCACAGAAAAAAAATAAGAATTGAATAACATGTTCGTATAGATCAGGGATGAAGATACGACATCTCAAAATCAGAATTCAGGATTTATTTATTGTTACGTAGAACTTGAGGAGTGTATTTATGGAGACAAATCTCCAAGATGAACTTTGGTTCGATTAGAACTTATACAGTGATTGTGTTGTAAATTAGTTTCCAGCAACTTTCTATCTTGTCTAGTTTTACGGTTGGTTACGACGTCTTATTCCGACAATCCAAAAGTATTGAAACGCTCGATTTCTGCTTTTCAACTTCTCTGAAATCAAATTTTAATATATTGCACCACCTTTGGTTTTTTGTTTTAAGGGATTGTGAGATGAAATGATGTAAGAACATTTTAAGAGATTCATAGAGCTCTTCTATAGTCTAGGAAATTGTAACATTTTCTTCTTCTTTTAGTGTATTTTGGGGGAGGAAACAAAACTCTATTCTGTGACATGTAGCCATAACCAACATTTAGGTGTTTTTAATTTTCTATTTGGTGAGGAAGAAAGGGATCTTCTTAACACTAAAAACATGCATTGGTTGTTAACAATGGAGGATTACAGAGTTTGGGAAGAAATTGATTAAGAAGGAGCTTAAAAGAATTCATAACGTTCACCATTAAACATTTAACGTGGACTTTTTAGAGGTTTTATTTTGCAAAGTCAACTAACACTTCAAGCCTTTAACTGCATGGTTGATAGTTGAGGAATAAAAATGATAATTTGAAATATTTGAGGAATTAAATGATCAATTTCCCCCTTTTTGTGATTGATTTATGACTTTTTAACTGCTGTTAGCTTGCTATGATTCCTATTGCAAAATCCTATTTTGAGATTAGTTCAAGTGAAAAAAAGACTATAGATGACTGAGATTCAACAAAAGATTTTGTTAAGAATTTGTGATAAGACTCTTGTGAGAACATTGCAATCTTACAGTAAGATTAGAGCACAGCACGGTCCCTCAAAATCTTAGTCACCCTTGTTTGTCATCAAGCAAAATGCCTTATTACCTGGTTTGGGTATTAATCAATAAGATTCAAGAGTCCTTAAGTATAGCTGTTTTTTTCTTTTTCTATTTAGTTGCATATTAGGTAGGAGATCACATGAAGTGAAACTCTATAAGTACAACTCGAACAGTTCTCACTCGGAAACATCAACAAAACACAACACCAACACTTTTAAACAGTCATTCAGCAATAAGAACCAATTGCTACTCGTCATACAAAGACATAATATCAATCAACTTAGAAACAAATGGCAGGAACACAGTTTGTATTAACAAATCATCTTTCTAGCACCGCAAAACTCAACAAGGAAATACAAAAGAAATTAAAAAAGAAAAAGAAACAAAAAGCAAAAGGAACCTGAGTGAAGCTGATGATACAGCCGAACTCTACAACTTATTTGGAATACAAATATCTATCCTCGTGTAAATAGATGGTACAAGCTTGATGGTGCTTCAAGCTGCCTTCGGTGCACGATGCCCACCTGCAATGACGAGCAAACAATGAGTGAAGCTTATACTAATTCAAAATTATAAAGTATAAAGTGAGAATCTACCTTTTCTCTTACTGGAGGCAGCAGATACATTAGCAGCACTGTTAAACGACCCGTTTTCATTACCAACCAGGTTCTGATCAGCCGCACACTGCAACTGATCAAAACCACAACCACTCAAACCTTGCTCACTGACCGACACACCTTCCTGAAGACAATAAACCCCATCACCACACTGAACATTACAAGGATTCATCATCATATTCGAGAAAGAAGGTTTCTGGTAAGGAAAAGACCCAATCTCCCCATCAATCCTCCCTCTCAAATCCACAAGCAAACACTTAAGCCTCGAGACCTCAGCTTCCAATGCCGCCTGACTCTGCAACCTCTTCACAAGCTGGTGATTCACAGCCGTCAGCCTCGCAACTTCGTCCTCCAAGGAAGCGGCTTTAGCCTTCTTCTTCTCTCTATACTTCCTAACGGCTTCTCTGTTCCCTAAGGGCCTCTTACCGCGTGACTCGGCTGTTTCGTCGCTGTCCTCGGGGAGGATCTTGGTGTGGACGTGGAGGCAGGTGTGAGTGTGGGTGTTCTCTGGTCCCGTGGGGTTGCAAGTGTGTGTGTGGGTGCAAGCAGCGTTGGTATCCATGAGAAGCCCGTCGAAGAAAGTGTCCATGGAACAGGAGGTAGGTGGTAAAACATTCATATTCATGTCGGAAGTTGAAAACACTTCATGGTTAGAGAACTCGAGCTCGCCGTCTTCCATTAATGGAGTAAAATGATCACGCCCAAGAAGCAAGATCGATACTTTTGAGCTCCCGAATCAATCAAAACTCTGATTTAACAACAATTCGATCCGTAATTGAGAAGAGAGAACCAAGAAAACCCCTAAAAATCGATACTTTGAGCAAAACCCGTGAAATCTCGAGCTCTAGAATCAATCAAAACTCTAATTTCACAACACTTCGATATGTAATTGGGAACAGAGATCCACGAAAAAGCCTAAAAATCGTAACTTTCTAGCTAAAACCGTGAAGTCTCTAGGTCCAGAATCAATTAAAACCCTAATTTCACAATAATTCGAGTAATACGTTGTGTAATTGAGAATAGAGACCCAACAAAAGCCCTTAAAATTGATACTTTCTGGCTAAACCTGTGAAGTTTGAATCAATCGAAACCTTAATTTCACCACAATCCGAGAAATTCGATAAGTAATTTAGGAAGAGAGATTCAAGATAAAACCCTAAAAATTCGAAATTGAGGATAGTGATGGAGGAAGAGCTTTAGGGAGAAAGAAGGCACAAGCATCACTAAAACTCTGTTCACGATTTCGAGTTACAGGAAAGAATCTTATTTTAAACATTATTCATGCAAATTAAAAAAAAGTTATTCATTACAAAATTAAATATATGAACGTGATTGGAGCTCCGCATCTTTTATATTTACATAATTAAGTAGACTTGTATTATCATCATTAGAGAAAGAAAACATTGACTTAAAACGAATAATAAAGTTAAACAATAATTTTCTCAAGTACGTTTGTTTACTTTCTGTGAGAAAAAAACAAATAGATGGTTAATCACCAGAGACACCAGCCAGTAAGCTATTATCTTCAACTTGTTATTTTTCTTTTGGAAAGATTCTTTAATCACCATCTATTATTAAAGATTAGTTGATGTGAAAATTAGTGATCCTGATAGAAGTAGCTTTCTTTTAACTTTTGTACTTTATATTTATTTTTAGATAAAGTAAGATTCCCTTGTAATACTTTCAGCAATTAAAAAAACTATTTTGGTTTGCCCTTCTCGTGACTGATTCCAACTTGTAATCCCTATGCTCTTCATACCGGATATTAGCACACACCCAAATAAAACATTGGAAGTTGGCCTCTAAATTTTGAAAGCTTTTGTACAGCAGTACAGGGACAATCTCCTAAATTATATAATCGGACATGGTTTCGACTGAGATTGATGGAAAAATTAGACTCTCGGAGAGGGGGATATTTCTTTTTTTATACTTGCGGATTTGAATGAGCCTCTTATTTAACGGTCTAAGATCTGGTTGTGGTAATCAGCCGTTGGGTCCCATATTTTCTCAACCGATCACAGAGTAACAATATTTTTCTATTAATTTCATTTCTCGATGGATGATTGAAGTTTTGATCTTGAGATGCTACATATCCATCTTTGTATCAATAAAGTAAGCCATCCCATTTCTATTGTTAGCTGATATTTGACAAGTTCAGTTTGTGGTGACAGGATGAATGATGCCATTCTTCAGAGACTATGCACAAGAATCTCTCTGAGCTCGGTTTCAACTTCAACTCCTCTGCGGCTAAAGCGGTTGCAGACAGTTCTGGCACAGAGCATGTTTAGGGGTGCGTTTGCTGCTGGCTTTGGTTACTTTTACGAGATTTGAAGGAGGATGAAGTATAAATGTTGGAAGGAAAACTCACACGAAGCAGTGAAGAACCTATTCTCTCCTTATTTAGCATTAAAGAATCTATCATTCATCTATAGTGCTGCTATAAAGATGCTAGCTAAACTCTTTGATCCACGACCAAACTATTGATCGTGCGTTACTGCTCATTGCAACGTTTGTGAACTACATTGGCATAGTGTTCGGAATTCAGATCATCACATCTGCAAGACTATAAATAAAATGAGAGAGAGGATCTCACAGGAACAGAGCCAGGTTTGCTGAGATGTGTAACTCTGAGGTTGTCTTAAGTCTCATATTTCTCTATCCCACTTGTCTTTAGGGATCTCTCCGGAATCAGCAATCACAACTTTCTTCCTTGGTTTGCCACTGTAAGTACCAGCTCCACCTTCAATGGCGAACACATAGTCCATCCCTTGTATCACCTTCCCAAACACAACATGTTCCCCTTCCAACCTACCCACACACATTTCACATATTGTTAATCAAATCCTACACTGCCAAATCACGAGTGAAACTACAATATTATTATAGAGCAGAAGCGCAGGTTCAAATGGGTGTGTTTATCTTAGACTCAAAGCTCTTGATCCCAATACTATTCTGTTCTATGTAAGAGCATGAGGGTTTATAAAAGAGAGGAGAGAGTACCAGGTAGCCTTGACAGTAGTGATAAAGAACTGTGAGCCATTAGAATCAGGTCCTGTGTTAGCCATCGCTACAACACCTACAAACACACAGAGTCGGTTTAGCTACAACTACAAGAATACATGAAGCTCACTTTCCTAAGTTGGTAGAGAGAGTAGTACCTGCATGTGAATGCTTTACTTTGAAATTTTCGTCAGGAAAGGTACCACCATAGATGGACTCACTCCCTTTGCCATCACCATGGATGATGTCTCCTCCTTGGATTACGAATCCAGATACTATACGGTGAAATTGTTTTCCTTTATAATGTAGAGGCTTTCCGCTTGAAGCTTTTCCTTTCTCTCCTAAGTTAAGAATTCAAATCCATTTAATAAGAAACTGAAGCATCCAATTTCAAGATAAACACCAATCGTTTTAAGTACAAAAACCTGTGCATAAAGCCCTGAAATTTTCTGCAAAAAACAAAGAAGCTAGTATTACAAAAACTATTTAAACAATTGAAACCACATCCTGAGATTTTTGTATTGAAGATGAGAAAGACACATACCTACAGTTTTGGGTACAAGAGTGCCGTATAACCCAATAATTATCCTGCCTGCAAGTATATTATTATATCACAGAAAATGAAATCCACAAACTTTGAAGAAAAAGTAAATGGCAAAGATTATTCAAGAAAGGTGATGAAGCAATCTTGTTTTGTTTTCCTTTACTTGAATCAACTATTTTACAAAGAAACAATATATGTTTATCAGCTGGTGCCTTTTACCTAAGCGCTGGCCCTCGATATCAATATCGAGAAATACTCTGTGTGTAACTTGGTAATCCTCAAGGGCTTGCTTCTCCTCCTCCTCCTAAGCACCAAGAGAGCACGCATAGGTTAGTCACATAATGCTGGTCTGGTCCTTCTCACACTAACCGAGGCCATAGGGTAAGTTATTCAGCAACAATCCTATGCACAGCTCTATCTATAATTAGACGAAAAGGAATATAGATTCGAACGCATGTTTCTAACTTGCTTATGACTTGGACTAGCAGAATAACTTGTCTATACTCAATCAAAACTACTCTCTCTCTCTCTCTTCTACTTTTATCATTCAGAGTTACGTGAAAGATCAAAGATCGGGCTACTGACTTTAAGAACTAACAGCAATGCAGAGACAAACATAAACAATGGCCGTAAAGCCAGACACAATAATCACCATCATCAGATAAATAAAATCCATTTGGTTTATAATGTTTAACCAAATTGCATAGCAAACACAGACAAATAAGCTTGGCTTCAAAAACGAAAAGAGACTACTCATAACCAAACCCAAACAACACTGAACAGAAAGGAAACTTTACAACAAAAAGGGTTTCAGAGTATCGGACCTCTCATAATCGTTTAAAAGAACAGTGAGTGAGATCCCAAATAAATTAAAGAGCGTGATAATACATTGTTAAGAGAAAAAAACAAGAAAATGGGTCAGAGGAGGAGGAAAGTGTCGTTACTTTATGGTTGTGGGAGAGGGCAAAAAAGAAGAGGAAGATCGTGACGGAAACAAGGAGAAGAAGGCACCACCTGGGCTGTATCTCTTTACCCATCTTCCTTCCTTCCTTCCTTCCTTCCTTCCTTCCTTCTTTCTTTCTTTCTTTCTTTCTTTCTTTCTTCTTAACAACTCATCGATCTCTAAATCAGATGCACAACAAAAAAAAAAAGGGTAAAGTTGGAAACTTTCTCTTGTTAGACCTCTCTCTCTCTCTCACTAGAGAATTCACGGGGAAAATTGTGGCCGGAGTATTAAATTTACATTTCAAAACGATCTCTCTGTTCCGTTTCTTCGTCCAAGATGAATTTCTTTTCTGATATGCTAATGGGCCTGTATGTCGACTAAAGGGCCATCAGTTTAATGGACCATTTTCGGATTTGCATCTGTTTATTATTTACTGGAGGTTGAACCGGTTATTAGAGAATGCAAAACTTTTTAACTTTTTTTTTTCTTTTTCTGGTGACATCTAAATTTTTCATACCAATTTTTCTTTTCCTTTACTCATCTTTTGTATTTTATTGGTCCCTACTCCCTACACATCTTGATCGCTAAAGAGACATATTTGTTTTCATTTAGGACTGAAACATAACTCAAATAAATTAAAGAAAAAACATATGGTTATTGGTGAATACTCTTTCATAAAATTTAAAAAGAAACCGTAGGAAAACAAAAACGAAAGATTGTCAAAAAAACGAAGGGTCAATCTCTATAGCAGATTCAAGACAAAAAATAAGTAATGGTGTAGTTATGTTGTGAAAGTAGTGGTTATACCAAAATCACTAAATCTAACTTTAAAACCAAAGAAACGTTTGTTATAAAAAACAGGTACAAGCTCCTCTTGTATTTCATTTTCTCCATCATGCTAACTAGACTCATCTTTCTCATCGCCGTCGCTACTTCTGTCACCGTCGTCCTTCTCCTTGCTTTATTCTCACCCGTTCCTGATTACGACCCACTAGAATCACTCTTCTCCTTCTCCCTTTATGTTCAACAAACCCATATCTCTTCCTCCTCCTATGTCTCTCGCAGGTCATCAACTCACCGCATGGCTGGGACCCACAGCAGAGGAGTAGGAGGAGGAGCATTGATTTTCCGGCGTACGCTCACGGAGGGACCTGATAACAGTTCTCGGATCATGGGGAAGGCTGAGGGATTTATAATCCCGCATGAAGAATTTGCTAACTCCGATTTTAACGTGATATATTTGACGTTAGAGACTCCTGAGTACACGGGGAGTGTTAGTATTAGAAGCAGAGACATGGCACGTAAACTGGAAGAGGTTATGGAGGTTGTCGGAGGGACAGGAGCTTTTGCCTTTGCTCGTGGAATTGCCATGTTTGATGAAGTTGGTGACGAGGAAGAAGCTGTGACCACTTACCGTGTTAAGCTACTGCTTAAGTTTCCACATACTTCTAAAATAGATCCACAGTGATAGACTCTTTCGTTTTTACTTTTTATATAAATAAATTTATATACACATTACTTAAATAAACGTGATTTTTCCTTTTTTTTTTAATTACAAAAAACCTAAGCACTCCCGTTAATGCTGCTCTCAAGTTACAAATGTGCAAATACCTCTATGCAGTAATCAGTTTTGGTTTCATCTCTTTTTTTTGGTAAGTATAATAAGTCTCTCGCCAAGGTCCAACTAATCTCCAACGAGTAGTCAATCTCGAGTTTGCTAAATAAAGTCTAAGAAGACATGACTCGATGTTCGTCTAACTAAAAGTAGCAACTTAATTTCTATCATCAATTGAACGCAGGGAAACATGATTTACGCCATACCTCATACCCTCCTTTTACCGTTAGTCAATCAATACTTTTTTCACTTTTGCATGGCAAGTTCTTTATTGCCATCATAGTAAAATACCTGAGCGTTTTCTTCAGTCTTGTATTCTATTTTACTAGAGCATCTTCAACGCATCTACTTTCTGTTTGTATCTTGTTTTTAAAAGTTATCTAATTATAAACTAAAGTTTAACAGAGACTTTCAAAACAAAACAAAAAACTAATGTTTAACAGCGGGACGCGGCGGACCTGTTCCGTCCTAGACTACTGCAGATTTGTTTTATAGCAGGACGCGGCAGGCCTGTCCCACGCGGGACGTGGTCTTGAAAACAGCAGCCCAATCTCGTACCGCATGTTTTGTAGGCCTTCGCGGACCGTACCACGGGACACATGATAATATGCGCAACTGAACGATTCAGACCCCTCCGAAACACTTTAGACCATTTTAAGACATAGTTTAAGTCGTCGATTCAACTGAACATAATTCATCAGTCATTGATTTTTTTTTTTTTTTATTCAAAACAATAATTGTTATTATTTGTATCACACCCAAAACATATTAACATACAATGTAAAAATAATTACAGAAAATATTTTTCATTATCTTATAACTCATAAATTCATAACCAATGTTTTAGTTTGCTGAATCTAAAAATTAAATAAAATGAAACACTAAATCAAAAATGTCAATCCCAAATTAAATAAAAAAGAAACCAAATCAAAACACTACTAAAGCTCGAATCGTCATCGCTGGAGCTGTAGTTGTCATCACCGGAGCTCGAATCATTATCACCGAAGCTCAAATCATCATCATCGCTCGAGCTCCTTACATTTTCTCAAGGAAAGTCACATGAATCGTCCTCTTCTCACTCATTCTCTCGTTTTTTCCATGTAAAACAAAAAATAAAGAAAAAAATGTAGGTCCTTGTAATCCCACGGGACCCGTTTCGGTCCGTTCCCGCAAAAGACCCATCCCGCAAGGCCGGCAAATTTGCTGGCCAAAAACCTCGTCCCAGTATCGTTCCGCGACAGCTCTTTAAGGGATAGGTCCGCAGTCCAGATCCATAATTGCCATCCCTAGTCTTGTATTCTATTTACTAGAGCATCTTCTAACGCATCTACTTTCTGTTTGTATCTTGTTTTTAAAAGTTATCTAAATAAACTAAAGTTTAACAGAGAGTTTCAAAACAAAACAAAAAACTAAAGCTTAACAGTATCTTTTATATATTGTCATTAATCACAACTTCACAAGAGTAGACTTAATTTTTGGTATGGAAACTAGCCTAGACATCTAAACTAAAAACAGGCGGTAACATGATTACAACAATACAAGTCAGTTTATAAAGAGGCTAAACAATGTTTCCACAGTTGATGTTTACTTTTTTCCTTTTTTTTTTGTTTACTTTTTTTCCAGGCATGCACTTTCTATGTTAATTACACATCTTGTTTGTAAACTACCAATGGAATGTACTCTGAAGATGAAACATTCAAGAATGAAAATATAAACGATATTCCCAAAATAGTATTATGTATTTAGCCAGAGAAAAATGAAATCCGCAACACATAAAACTAGCCTATTATAATATCCTAAAATCAATATAGAGTACTTCGACTTACAACATATTCTATACACTTATAACAAAGTCAGTCTATGAGCATCACCAATGCATATATACATAGAGCTCATCACACGTTAGAGAAGACAAATATAAAACATATCAAAGAAGAATTCAAAAAGAGAATGTTCATACTAGAGAGTTAGTTAAGCTTTTGTCATAATCAATGAAATCCTCTTGACCCTCTAGATTGATAAAGTTCCAATCTACTCTTTGCTTCTGGCAAAATCTCATCAATGGTCGGTGCGTCCACCAAATGAGATTGCTTAGTCGACCACTCAAGCACTACAAGAACCTCTTCTTGCGCTAGAGTCTCACTGTCTGGTACATTCAATGCAATGTAACAAAGTAGTACCAAAGCTGGGACTTGAACCATCTGTTCACCAAAGTACACCAGCTGAATCAAATGCTTTGCACCTCCTGCTGCTATGATGGCCTTAGAGTGGTTATCTCTAAGGAAGTTCTCAGTACATGCGAATTTAATAAGCGCCACGGCTGCTTCCATTGAAACCTCAGCTTCTCTTTCATCAAGAAGCTTCACAAGTGGTGCTATAATTCTTGTTTCAGTTGCACGGAACGTTCTTGAAAGACAACCTATTGATTTGATACATGGGATTAGAAGGTCCGGTACTTCGTTTTCGATAACTTTTAGCAGCTGTTCAACCACAGCTTTAGCAGCAGGAGAGGTTGGTTTGAAAGCAGAACGTCTTAGCTCCGAGTATTGCTCAGCAACGTCGGTGATCTCCATCATTGCTAATGCAGAATATGACTTGACTTCCTCGTCTCCTTTCTCTAACAAAACCGCGAAACAGAGCAGTGCTCTTGACTCTGTTATGCTTCTACATATTTGGAGATTCCCTCTTGAGAGTTGCCACAATGCTCTTGCAGCCATTGCTTTCATCTGAGCTTTGGTTTCTGGATCTTCATACTCTCTTCCTTTAATGCTTGTCCCTATCAAAGAAACATGTGTTGGATTGTTGTTCCCTCTTGGTGTTGGACCACCTTTTGTATGATGCTGGTGTTGTTGATTACTTTGTTTCGTCTGATTCTTGTTACTACCCGAACCTGAACCTGAACCCTTTATTGCAAATGTGTTTGCAACCAAACTATGCATCTGACTCGGTGTCTGGTTACTCATAGGATGTGTAATATTACTTTTTGTCTCGTCATGCTCGTGGCTCTTCTCACTCGGGTTCGTGTTGCTAGCCATCACAACCGTGTGGATAGAAGACAATGTCTGCTTGTTACTCACGATAGCGTATTTGCTATGCTCCTGAACCGTCTCGAAAGCGAGATGGCTCACTAGGAAACGAATGATGTTGTTCTGAGCGAAATGGTCTTGACATTTCGGATGATTAGACGCTAGTTCAGACACAGCCCATGCAACAACGGTCTGAACTTTCATATGACCTTCTTTAAGAATCTTAGCAAAGACTTGACACACACCTGAGTTAACAATCTGCTCAACGCTCTCCGGGTCTCGCCCTAATAAACCAATGGCCCGCGCCGCGTTTTCTTGCCCCTCAAGTTTCCCTTCTTTAACAAGTTTCAGCAACGGAGGCACCCCACCTTCTTCAATAATCAACCTCCCGTATCGATCATTGTCACGTGCGAGCGACACGAGCGAAGCCGCCGCGTCGGAACGGTCATCCACGGAGCCTGTGATGAGGATAGCGACTTGTTCCCAAATCAAACAGAGGATAGGCTCGTTTGCAGCTATAGGAGGGAGACCACCTAAGTACTCATCGTCACGGTCGTCCCCCGAGGCGGAGACACGGAGGAGCCAAGAGACGTCTCCGAGCGAATTCTCCAACTGCATCGTGATCTTTCGAAACGCGGCCGCGGGGATGATGGTGAAGAGACGTTTCATCAGCCCCGTGGCGCGGCATTTCTCGACGAGGGCTATGGCTTTGAAGAGGACTTGCTCCGTGTCGTCGATGATGCGGCGCGTGGGACGTTCGTAGAGGTCGTTGCTCGCACGCGCTGCTTGACGGAGGAGACCGGCGAGCTTTTCGGTTTTGGCTTTGACCTCTAGACATTCTTGTCGGAAGGAGTAAGCCTCGTCGGCGGCTTTTGTTATCTGATCTGCTAATTGAATTGGTCTCACTAAGATTTGTTTCACGATATCCGCCATGGAGAAGCGATCAAGATAAAGAATATGAAGTTAACGTTGATGGAGTTGATGGCCGGAGACCGACGGCGGAGAGAGAAAGAGAGAGGCAGAGAGAAAATGAGATATAGGTGATACGTTAATTTCTCCGAGATTTACAAGGAAGAAGGGAAAGCTTCTAAAATTAGACGTTGAGATTGTTGCTAGAGGGGTGGTTATATATAACGGTCCAATGCTGAGTAAAATGATTATGATATACAAGTATAGAATATACAGTTTTGTCATTTAGTATGGTATTGTGTTTGATGAAATATGGTATCTGAGTTTTCAATAAGATAGACGTTACAAAAAAAAAATACAACATACTAGTATTTAAATCGACTAATACACGATATTGCGCAAGGACAAAACATATATACAGTTTTGTCACTCTTGGCACATTGAGAAAAAAATATTTCGATTATACTCTTGGTCAATTGAAACCCCATTTTAAGGTTTTCTAAGATTTGGTTCAAATTAGATGATTATGGATAAAAAAAAAAAAACTAAGATGAGTACTGACCAAAGTCCTAACCAAGGTGACATTCATATGTGTCAACGTTTGGGTCGGTCATAACATAAATGCGTTGAGACTAATTGCGAAGAAGAGTTTGTTGATGACTCATGATTCTTGGTACGTTTGGATGGAAGCAAATTGTGGCATAGCATAACACAGTCAAGGACACAAGTTTGCCCTCCTTTAAACTAGCTCCATCTACAACCACAATGCAACGTGAATCACGAATCATTAGCAACACTTCAGAAATGGAAGGGTCCCCAACATGCTGTACAGTTCGAATTATTTACAAGAATCATGATTCATGACTCGTGATGTACTGTTCAAATGGTTTACAAGGTTAATATCGAAACAAAGAAATATGTTTACACGGTTATAATATGTCTAATTCATGACTTCAGAAGTAGATATATATTTTTCTTGATTCCCTCAACTGTAAATACCAAAACATATTACTCATCTCAGTCTCTTATAACACTACACTAGATTTTGATCCGCGCTTTTAAGCGCGGAAATTTTTTATAATTAAAAATTTAGATAATTGAGGTTTTATCTTAATTTGAAGAATATTTTGGTATAAAATTAGTTCACCAAAATTTGTGGTGATGATTGTTTTCATTAGTTTTTAGTTTCAATTTTTATTTTTAGATTTAGATTTTTTGGGTTTTAATTTTTAAGTTTCTATTTTTGATTTCAGTTTTTGTTTGAGTTTTTAATTTTTAGATCCACTGAGTTAGTTTGAACTGATATTACCCAAATTTTTTATGATTAAAAATTTATATAATTGGGGTTTTGTCTTAATTTAAAGAATGTTTTGGTATAAAATCAGTTCATCAAAATTTGTGGTGATGATTGTTTTTCATTAGTTTTTAGTTTCAATTTTTATTTTAGATTTTGATTTTTCGAGTTTTGATTTTTTGGTTTCTATATTTGATTTAAACTTTTGGTTTGAGTTTTTAATTTTAGATCCGCTGAGTTAGTTTGAACTGATATTACCAACAAACAAATCTCAATTAATCAAACATGTAATTTAAAACTGAAAAGATGACAAAATAATTTTCTAAAATTTTTGAAATAGTTTATTTTGTAATAAAAAAAGCAAAAAATATAATTCAAGCGCAGAAATTTTTTATGATTATAAATTTATGTAATTGGGTTTTATCTTAATTTAAAGAATGTTTTGAGATAAAATCAGTTTATTTTGTAATAAAAAAAGAAAAAATATAACCTGCGTTTTCAGCTTTTGGTTTTGGATTTTAGTTTTTAGATTTGGTTTTTGGTTTTGCTTTACATTTTTTTAAAATCTGTAAATTATTTAAGAAAAATAAAACAATAAATTATTTAAAAATTACCATTAAAATTTATCAAGATAGAGGGATTGTTATTTAAAATAAAAAATATTAACATGTTTTAAAGTACATGATTTAAATAAGTGATTAATACTAGATAATTTTGTTTTGTTGATAATATTAAATATTTTTGGGCTAAAAATATTAACATGTTTTAAAGTACATGATTTAAATAAGTGATTAATAATAGATAATTTTGTTTTGTTGAAAATATTAAATATTTTTGGGCCTGAAAATAGTAATTGATTTTTGATCCATTAAGGTGAAAAATTTATTTAATGTTTTTTGAAATTTTTCTTTAATACTAAGCCCAAAAACCAAACAATTAAATGTCATAAAAACAAAAGTAAGCCCAAAACTCTATTCCATAAATAATTACCGGTTTAATTTAAGTAATGCAGTTCAATCAATTATATAACTTGTATTATTTGTAACACTCTAGAAAAAATCCAAATTTAAATGACAACTTGTATGAGTAGATAAAAATAATGACTCTATTTTAATAGAATAGATATGTCGTTGAATATTTACCTTAAAAGATCAGTACGATTTAGTACAAACTTTATATATAACTAGGACCGGTCCGCGCTTCGCGCGGAATGTTTGTTTTGGTAGGTGTTGAAGCGAAACTATATATGTGGTTTAAGTTGTTGGACAATTTCTTTGTATGAAACTACATGTCCTGAGATTTTTGCTTATATATCATTGTCCTTTTGAGGTTGTGATGCTTGATGCACTTTAAAATTCACTTCTATCAACTGCTAGGTTTGATTGAATGTGTTAACTGGTTAGGTTGAAGTTATTTGAATTACTTTTTCTTATGGTTATATATAGGTTTGTTTCCTTCTTCTTTTCTTTTATTGGTTTATTATTGGACAATGGTGAGCAACTTTGAGTTTGTGTTATTAGCTTGAAGTTACATTTTGGATATATGATTTTTATAGTACGAAATTTAAATTTCTTTAATAATGGAGGTGATAATGAACAAAACCTTTTAATTTGAATTTCATGTAGTTCATATATTTTTTGGTTGATTACTTTTAGGCGAATCAACAAAATATTTCTCCTACAGTATATAAATGGAACGTGTTGACTGACTTAGATATGGATTTTGGTTGGTTTCAAACCAATAGAATATTGGTTCATCTCGGTGCTGGTTTGGTTGCAGTTGTTTTTTTTTTGTCATCGGTTTGGTTTCAGTTTGGTTGCTGTGTTTTGGATAATTTAAAAATTCAGGTAAAAGTTAGTTTTTAGTTATTTTGGATTATATACCGGGTAATTCAAATAAATTTCAATATTTTGGATATTAATTATTTGGATAATTCAATGTTTTTGGTTAATCTAAATGAATTAAAAATTGTAATAAAAAACATTTGCATAATTTGTTTGTTTCATGTATTTTAATTAATAAGTAGTGTTTTAAAAATATTTGGTAATTTTAAAACTAATTATAATAATAATTAGAGGTATATAAACTTTAATACTCAGGAACCTAATATTGTTCTCGGTCTGGTTTCGTTTTTTCATTTTATTTTGTTTCTCTACTCTACAAATATATGAAACGTTCGGTTATTTATAAAACACATTTCGGTTTCATTTTGGTTTAGGTAGCAATGTTAGGAATGTACTAATATCCGATAAAATATTGGTTCCAATTTGGTTCCGGATTTTCAGATAATTTCTGATAATTTGGATAGTAAATGAATTTTTAGTTATTTTGTATTAAATATCGATAATTCAGGTAAATTTGGATATAATGTATTCGGGTAATTTGGATAATTTTTAAAAAATGGATAAAAATATCAGGACAATATTTTTTTTTCAAGTGGTAAGTGTATAAGTAGTGTTTTGAAAATATTTAGTAATTATCTTGGTTTGAATTCAGTTTGGATTTTCCAATTCAATTTTTTTTTCTTATGTTTCGATTTGGTTTTCATATGCCTAGTATAATGTACAATTTTTTTTAATAAATTGGATTGGAGGTTCACTTTGACATAATTAAAATAAACTAATACTAAGTAAGGATAATCACTATTAAAATTGTTTTGTTGAATTTATGTCTAAACATTTAACACTGTTGAATTTTTATATTCTTTATTAAAAATAGAATTATTTTTTAATGTGAAGTCTAGAGTTTCGACGCAAGAAGCAATTATTTATCTTCCTCTACAACAATTTGCGTTTTTTTTTTCCAGAACTTCAATCATAGCTTTTAAATTCTCTAATTGCAACTTAAACAATGCCTTTATCCATGTCACTCATCCAGCATTTTTGTTTATTCAATACCTACTAACTTGTGTGAATCTTCTACGTCTCGGATCATACATTTTGATCGCTTGGTTCCATCTCAAGTTAGGTTTTTTTCCTTGAGCTCAACCACCTGTTTTTCAGCATCCTCATCTTTGATCCTCTGCCCCTTCTTCAAATATTGAATCTTAGATTTTGATTGTTTGAATTGCAAAATAAGTTGTGGTTTTCGTCTCTGCAACTTAGTCACATCTGTTGTTGATACATCTTTTATATTATGCTCCTCCAGATGTCTCTGCAGCTCAACTACCTTAGTCATAGTTTACCTTTGTCTTTTCTCTAAAATCTAAGTCTAGCACTTGTTTCTTTGACCTGCGGCTCAAATTGTGTTTTTTTCTTCTGGAACTCTGTTTCATGATTAACTTAAGAAAGAGAGTAAGAGAAGTATGTATAAGCAACCGGTAACTCAGGAGCACAACATGTAAAAGTTTTGATTGTGGTGCTTTAAAGACTGTTTCAATTATTGAGGGCCCATAAAAAAAAACTGAAACATGAAGTCTTTGGGCATGAGTGGCTTAAATCTCGTATTTTGGCCACACCATCAGGACGGAACCTTGTTGTTTAATGGAATCAGAATTTCGTTTACTAAATGCATTATGAGAACAAAAGAAAAAGGATAAACATAGAAGTAAAGTCATGGTTTTGTCTACAAAGATAACATAATCATTCCAAGCAACTATGTTAAAAACTAAACCTTGAAGTACTCTTGAATAGCTCTCCAACATAGCTTTTATAACATCCTGCGGACACAACATAAAAAATATTACTCTGGTTAGTGTCTAGTACTTATTACAATCAAAAACTAAAATACTTTGCTTTTTTCAGTTTGTTTACCTTATTTTTCAGAATCTTGCATATGTCTAATGATGTTTTAGATAATCCTAAGCAACAATGTTTCAAACAAAAGAGCACTGTCTCTGCTCTCTCAGCAGTAATAGCTCTTGAACATAACAATTAACCTTTGGAAGAGTTGCCATGTAAGACACTAAAGATGCTACTGTTGATAGCCATTGCAGTGTTGTGAATATGATTAGTATTCTCTCTATGATTAGTACTCTCTCTACGCTTATTGTAACAGTAGCGTTAATGACTGAAACCTGAACCAAGATTCATATTCACATGTATAAGAACAGCTGCAAGGAGAGGAATTGGTATTTACATAAGACGAAGTTAGAGAACTGGGTATCCATAGCATTCCCAGCTTATAAAGTACGATTTTTGAGTCTTAAAATCGAAAAATACCTTCATGAGGACCATGTCAAGGGCCCAGAATCTGAGCAACTGCACCTCCACGAAAGAAAGTTTTCTTTGGTGAAAACAAAAAAAGAAGTTTTCTGTGGTGTTATCATGAATCGATATGATGATTTTCAAGGAAGAAGGCTTACCTTTTTATAGGTGTAGTAGATACACCGCCTTGCAGTGGGATAAATTGCATTGAATGCCAGATTGTGCTTGACTGTATCGATGGAGTTAAGATGTTTGATAAAGGTAATGAATCAGTAACAATTCGGAGGTTGAAAACGAAACGACGCAATTGAAGCTTGCCCAGAGATTACTCGTCCATTAAACTCACCCAATTACTTGAAACTCAATTGCTGGTGTAGATCGTCAAAGCTCGAAGGAAAACACAAACCCTAATCTTCAATGTCGTCTTCCACCCTAATCTTCAATGTCGTCTAGAAGACGATAGTAGTGTTTCTGGGTTAAATTTGGACTGGTCAAAATATATAACGAAATAAGAGCCCACTAATAGTTTAAGAGAAGCCCATTAACATGTTATAAAACGAAACAAAAAAACTTCAGTAGGAGAAAGTACACATGTCATTTTGTTGTTATACTAGTTGATGACATGGCAGAAGAAGAAGGGAATAAACTCTTCTTTATAATAATAGATATATAGATATATAGTTTAGACGCTCGCTGACAAAGAAATGTATTTACACGGCTAGAATTTAGAAAAACATATATACAAAAGGTAAACATCTACACGTCGGAAGAAGCATACAAGTAAACATATATAAAAGGCAAGCATGTTACAACAGATCATCAACCATCGTCCAGGGTAGTATATATCATCAAACTCTTCCATTGATTCTAGCGTATGTAAGCCCAACGCATGCATCAACGAAATCCTCATCGATAAAATCCGTCGAAAAAATTTGCAACTTATCTATACATCCCTCGGCTACACACCTAGAGATAAAGAGCCGTGCGTACCTTCGGATACGATCAGTCACGGGTCTAATCCACACAACCACGTTATCGGCATGTGGCGTAAGTGTATTAATAATATTAATGTAATCCAACCATAATGTTTTTTTTTTGAACTGATATCCAACACTATGTTAGGTCCTAATTATGATCCTATTTTAATAAGATAGAACTGTCAACTGTCCACATCTGAAGTTTTGAGCCAATATGACCCGTGGAGTCTTTATTCTGATTTTGGCTTTGTATTATTTTGGTGAATTCGAGCCAATACAAACATGAAATCTAGACAAGTTAACTTAGTTATAACTCCACGCCGATTTCTGTAAATTTAGTTTACTCTAAAACAAGTTAATGTTAAAATTTAGTAACTTTAAATATGTATCTAAATTTGGAGAGTTATAATTGCATTACCTATGTTATAATTTGGTGGATTATTATTATCTTACCCCTGTAAATAAAGTCCATAGTCATTATATTAGATACGAGAAAACATTTATTAAAACCTTGAACTTTCAAATTAAAACTAAAAAAACCTCTAATTCATGTTTGAACCAAAACAAATCTCAAACTTTTAAATACTAGCTGTTATAACTCTTATATTTTGTTGACTAGAACATTTAGAAAATCTAAATAGTCAACTGTTAAACTCGATTATTAAAACAAATAACTGTTAACTCTTTAAACGAAATTGTTTCAAAAACTGATTAAATATTAATCAAATAATGTCATTTTGCTTTTAAAAACACGTGAAACATCTTTTTGTGTGAGCCAGAATCCTAAATTGACTTCATCTTCTTTATTTTCAAGTGAAAAAGATGAAGTCGATTTGGAACTTTGATTTCGCGAAAGAATGCTTTAATTATTTAAAGAAGCAAAACTACGTCGTGTTTGACTTTTTTTTTGAAAAAAATAACGTTTAGAAAGTTAACAGTCACTTATTTTTATAATCAAGTTTAACAGTTGACTATTTAGATTTCTTAAATGGCCTAGTCAACAGAATATGAGAATTAAAACGACCAATATTTGAAAGTTGAATATTTTTCTGGCTCAAACATCAGTTGGAGATATTATTATCTTTAATTCAAAAATTTGGGATTCTAATGACACTTTTTTCTATTAGACCATTTATAATGGCCTAGTTGAATAAATCATTCAACTGTTGAATGCTTTGTAATGAAGGTGTTCAAAACCCAAAAAAACTTAGGTGGATTATTTGGAATTGAATTTTTTCAACTAGTTGAATACCATAAAATAGGGTCCACAAAGGTAACATGTCATTATGTTATTAGTTTTTAAATTTAAAGACATTTTTTATACACCCTAACTATTTTATCTAAATTATTTATAACAAACTAGTCTATTTATTAAATATTTCGAATATAAAAGGTCATCATTTTTTGTCTTTTACAAACAGGGGTTTGTTTTATTTGATTTGGACTTATCATTTTTTATTTTAGTTTCTAATTAGTTATTTTGAAAAAATGTTTTTATCTTGAAAATGGGTTTTGAAAAAACAGAATCTACATTTGAACTCTTAACTATTTTAGAATATTAAAGGTTTAATTATATATTATTTCAAAATGACTTAGATTTGATAACTGCTAATTTTTAATAAAAAGATTTGGTGAATTAAAGTAGATGGATATAATGATGATTTTAAAACAAAATATATAGATGATTAAAATTTAAATATTTATTGAATTAATTATTATGTGAGGAAAGAGATGATGTGAGAAAAAAAACTGATGTGGAGTATTAAAGTAGGGTGTTGAATAAAATCACCAATGTACATAGTCTTAGATACAGTACACATGTTCTTTATTTTACTTTTCCATTCATCCCAGTTTTCAAAATTTACGAATGACAAATCATCCAAATGTTATATTTTGCTATTAGTTTATACGTTTTCCTTCAATTTGTGGACAAGTTATTGGTGAAAATTCGTAATTGTTATTTTATATATGAAAATAAATCTACTTTTATAGATGAAGTTATCCAATTTGACTGAATATAATTATATTTGATTAATGTTAGATATGTATTATGTGATCAAGAAAATTATAAAACTGACACATGATGCAGTGTCATAAGACACATTCAATAATATACCATAATGTCTAGATAAAATAATATTTTCTTATCATTAGAACCAAAAATAAAACAAAGCTTTCTTTAAAAATAAATTTATAAGATTTAAAGAAATTATTTAAAAAACTTGTAGTCAAACAAAATCTAAAGAACACTAATTATAATGTATTATAAAGAAAAATATACTAATAATAGTAAAAATTAGGAAAAATGAGAATTATATATAAAGAAAGATGATGACTTCTCTTTTTAAAACTCACTAGAATTTCACATATTCCAGGGAAAACTCATAAACACTAAGTTAGTTATGGCTGAAAAAATCAATTTGGAATTGAGTTTACAAACAACTCCCTCAAGGATGATAAAGAAGAAATTGGTAAGTTCTGACATTGATCTGAATAATAAACTTCGTCTACCTAGAAGAGAGTTTGAAAAATTTATAATTCCACAAATGGAATGGGGTTTAGTCGAAAATTTGGAAAAAAGTGTCGAAGTGATAGTGAGAGATGTGAACGGTACTGATTATCATGTAACACTAATGAAATACCAGAGTGGTGATTATTTTTTCGTGGACACATGGAATGATATCGTGAAGGCAAAAGGTTTCAAATTAGGTGATCAAATTACACTCACGTGGGATAAGGATGCTGAAATTTTCTATATTATGTAATCTTGCTTTATTTTATTTTAATATCATAATATTAATAAAAATTTACTTAGGGTTTTAAATAAAAATTATGTTTTCAACCCAAAAATATATATTTCTTTTTTGAAACACAACTTTAATTAAAAACGATCAAACATTGGTGATACAATAAATGCAGTTTCATCTGCCAAGGCTTGTTCAGCTAAACTATCCTATCGTCCATACTTCATCTCTCATCACTTTCTGTTTCGTTTTCCTCTGTGCAATTTTTCTACTGTTCTTTGTCTTTACTCTTTTTAGCCTTTCTCTAAGTCTCTTTTTCTTGTCATCTACTCGTAAGATATTAATATAGATGAAATAATACAATTGTAAGAAATAAATAAAAAAAGATGAAATAATACAATTGCAGGTGATGGTGGATCAAACTTATGTCCGACCTACTTGGTCAATAAATGAATCAGTAAAAACATTAATCTTTTGTTCTATTGCAAGAAAATAAAGTCTTATGACATGAAACTTTCAAAGGAGGGTACACACTGAAAACACTTTATAATTAAAGTAACATAACTTAAAACACAGTTCAAAAAAAAAACATAACTTAAAACACACATAAGCCAAGCGAAAAGAATCTTGGTTCCAGTGCTGGTAGAGCCAACCATATGATCCCCAGAGTTATCAAACTTTCCCTTCAATTCTTGCGTGGGTAAGCCCAACGCATGCATCGACGAAATCCTCATCGATAAAATCCGTCGAAAAAATCTGCAACTTATCTATACATCCCTTGGCTACACACCTAGAAATAAAGAGCCGTGCGTACCTTCGGATACGATCAGTCACGGGTCTAACCCACACAACCACGTTATCTGCTTGTGGCGTAAGTGTATTCTCAACCCTGTAAAAGAATCTTCTAGAAGATGACGGTGGTTGCTGTTTCAAATGGTTCATATTGCTTTGAAACTTCGTCCATGGAAGATCAGTATCGATCCAATTATCTTTAAGATAGTCCGAGTTCCAGAGAAGTCCTCCGCGGCTAGGCCGAGGAGACTGTCTAGGTCTCCAGATGCAAATAACCCTTTTCGGCAAGATCTCGGATAGTGCCTTGTTGAACAAGTTATCATCTTGTTGGATCAAGAATTGACCTAACTTGACGGTCAAGTAAGTCTCAAACTCCGGAGGGTCTTTGCGTCCGTACTCCGTCCTTATATCTAGAATAATGATCTCCGAGTGAGTCTCCCACAAGAATCTGACGACGTCGTCGATGACTACGTCCATGTTGTATGACGCCAAGATCCCGTGGCAGATATAGCGATCCTCTTGTACACGGATGTCGAGGACACGTGTGCCAAGAACTAGCTGCTCGTAGATGGAGAGCGTTTGGCACTCGCCCAAGGGACGAGTCACCACATCTATGCCGATTTCATTGGTGGCTGAGTCATGTGTTCCTGGCCATACGATCTTGTTAAGAGTCAGTTTCTCAATGGAGAGATTGCCCATCCAGTTTTTACGGTCGTGTGGATGGTAGTCGTCGCCAGGGAAACGTGAACCATTGGATGCGAGGAGTTTGTCTAGGATTGCTTCTTGCTCCATGACGTCCCGTGGCCGCTGGAACTGGGTTGCGATGAACGCTGCGGTCGGATATATCACTTCTCTTACAACGGTTTCTGCAGAATCTTCTACAAAAGATACTGTCGGATCCACCACTTCTCTTACAACAGTTTTTGCCGAATCTTCTACAAAAGATACTGTCGGATCCACCACTTCTCTTACAACAGTTTTTGCTGAATCTTCTACAAAAGTCACTGTGGGATCCACCACTTCTTTTACAACAGTTCTTGCTGAATCTTCCACAAAAGTCACTGTCGGATCCACCACTTCTCTTACAACAGTTTTTGCGGAGTCTTCTGCAAAAGCTACTGTCGGATCTACCACCTCTCTTACAACAGTTTTTGCAGAGTCTTCTACAAAAGATACCGTTGGATCAACCACTTCTTTTACAAAGGAGTCTGCCAAATCTTCGAAAAAACCCATGTCTGAGAGATAAGAACTTCGTTTAGGGTCGTCAGTTATAAATATGGATTGCTCTTTGTGGTTGGCTTCTCAATCTACATTCGCTTATCTAAGAGTTGACCAACACTCGGTCTTTAAATACTTTGGTCTTCTAAAACCATATATAATATATGAAGTTGTTGGTGTTTATAATTGTATAGTCCAACTTTCTCTAATAAATCTTTTGTTAGAATGCTCTTGGAAACTCTTGTTCTTATTTTAATGATTCCTGTTTACAAAAAAAAATTATAAACAGGAGAAAGTGGGATGATACAAGTATAAACACCAACAACTTCATATTGTTTTAGAAGATTACAGTTTTTAAAGACCAAGTGTTGGCCACCTTTCAGATACGCCAACGAATGAAATGATTCTTCTTTATAATTTAACATCAACATTTTCTAATATAATCTTTGAATGAAATGGTCAAGTACTCTGATATGCATTATTCAGCCTTTGAAATAACTAATTCAATAGATCTAGTTTTGATCGGCACGATCGTACAATTATTTTTATATTATAATTTACTAGGAAATCATCCTACGTGTTTGGCACGAGAAAAAATGTTTAATTTTTATATATTATAATTTAATACAATTTAAATTAATCAATCATTTCGAATCATGTAATAACCTCATTAAATTTAATTTAAATAAAACTTTTAATAATAATCTTATATATAAAATTATAGAGTATAATTGGTGTTTAAAAATGTGTAAATTTTAATTATATGTATTTTGTTTAGATTTTTAAGTTACATAACCATCTTCAATTATTTCTTTTCTTTTTCTTTATGAATGTTTGACTTCTTCCATTGGTTGTGTTGTTGTATTTCGACTTTTTCGGTCCCGGCACTTTTGCACCATTTCGTTCCTGACACGTTTGCATCCTTTCGATCTCAATCATTCGCACCATTTCGGTCTCGAACCGTTTGCACCCTTTCGGTCCCGAACCATTCGCACCATTTCGGTCTCGAACTGTTTGCACCCTTTCGATCCCGACACATTTACACCCTTTTGGTCTCGACACATTTGCACCCTTTTGGTCCCAACACAGTCGCACTCTTTCGGTCCTGACACGTTTGCACCCTTTCGGTCCCGACACATTCACACTCTTTGGTTCCGACACGTTTGCACCCTTTCGGTTCCAACACGTTCGCACCCTTTTGGTCTTGAACCATTCGCACCCTTTCGGTCTTGAACCGTATGCACCCTTTCGGTCCCGACACGTTCGCACCCTTTCGGTCCGACACGTTTGCACCCTTTCGGTCCCGACTCATTCGCATCCTTTCGATCCTGACATGTTCACATCCTATTGATTTATTATTGCAGAAACCATATTAAATTTTTAAAGATCGTTTAGATCTATATAATGAATCAAATATTATATTCAAGAGTACAGAGAATCATACCTATATTAGAAAAATAGAGCACACAATTTTTTTTTAAAACATTGCATCTGTAAAATGTTCATATCCATAATCATATCAACATATTCTGAAAGGCGATGAAATATGATTATTATTATATATAAAATAACATTACGTTTGCACCCTTTCAATATGTTCGCACCCTTTCGTAAATATTATGTTCTCCCTCCAAAAATGTTACATTCACACATTTTTGATGACGATTTGTTTGCACCTTCTTGGCTATGATACATTCGCACATTTTCGCTCCTGAATTGTTCGCACCATTTCGGCTCCGAACCATTCGCACCCTTTCGGTCCCAAACCGTTCGCACCCTTTTGGTCCCAAACCAATTGCACCCTTTCGGTCCCGAACCGTTTGCACCCTTTCGGCCCTGACATGTTCACACCCTTTTGGTATGACACATTCACACTCTTTCAGTCCAGACACGTTTTCACCTTTTTGCTGACGTTACATTTGCACCTTTCGGTGACATTATATTCGCACTCTTTTGGTGACATTACATTGACACCCTTTTGATGACTTTACATTCACAACTTTTTGGTTATAATACATTCATACCTTTTCGCTCCTAATTTGTTCGCACCCTTTCGGTCCCAAACCGTTAGCACCCTTTCGGGTCCCGAACCGTTCGCACCCTTTCGACCCGAACCGTTCGCACCCTTTCGGTCCCAAACCATTCGCACCCTTTCGGTCCCGAACCGTTCGCACCATTTCAGCCCGACACGTTCACACCCTTTCGGTCCTGACACGTTCACACCCTTTTGGTCCTGACACATTTGCACCCTTTCGGTCCCGACACGTTTTCACCCTTTCGGTCCCGACACGTTCGCATCCTTTCGATCTCAACACATCGCACCCTTTCAGTCCTGAAGAGCTCGCACCCTTTCGGTCCCAACACGTTCCCACCCTTTCGGTCTCGACACGTTCGCACACTTTTGGTCCCGACACATTCACACCCTCTTGGTCCCAACACGTTCGCACCCTTTCGGTCCCGACATGTTCGCACCCTTTCGGTCCTGACATGTTCGCACCCTTTCGGTCCCGACATGTTCACACTCTTTCGGTCCTGAATCGTTCACATCATTTCGGTCCCGACATGTTTGCACCCTTTCGGTCCCAACACGTTCGCATTCTTTCGAACCCAACATGTTCGCATCCTTTTAATTTATTGTTGCAGACACCACATTAAATTTTTAAAGATTGTTTAGATCTATATAATGAATCAAAGATTATATTCAAAAGTACTAAGAATCATACCTATATTAGAAAAATAAAACCTGCAAATTTTATTAAAACATTGCATCTGTAAAATGTTCTATTTATAATAATCTGAAAAGATACATTGATAGATTATTAAGAGGTGTGTTTTATTTTAAAATGCATATTTTCAAGAGTTGCGAAGAAAAGTATGACTCTTCAAATTAAAGTGATGTGTTGTTTGAAAAAAAATAACTGCTCAGAGTAAATTTAATTTAAGTATACAAAAGAAATTATTATGACCTATAGAAGAAAAATAAAACAATAATAACCAGCAGATTGTAACTCTTTAAACATGAAAAAAGTATGACTCTTTCAATTAAAAAATTGTTGTTTGAAAAAAAATATATTAATGGCATAAATATCTTATGTCTAAAAAACATTTTTAAGACCATTACATAAAAAAAAAACAATTGTTGAAAGGTTGTGTCATTTCATAAAAAACCGAAATATATTAGTTTAAAAGTTGCATCTATTCATTCTAAAAACAATTGTGTGTTTTTAAAAAAAAATTCTTTTAAAAGTTGCATAAAAAAAATATTAGGACCATTAGATGGAAAACAAAACAATGGTTGAAAGGTTGTATATTTTCATAAGAAAATAAAATCTAGTAGTTTAAAAATTGCATTTTTCATTATAAATATAATTGTGTCTTTTCATAACTATTATTTTAAAAATTGAATATTTTCATTATTAAGAAAATTTGTGTTTCAGGTAAAGTAGTTAAAAATTATTTAAGAGGTTATAAAAATTGTGTCTTCTCATAATAACAATTGTTGAAAGGTTATACGTTTCATAAAAAAACTAAAATATTGTTGGGGTCAAAATCGGTACGACGGAATTAATAGCCAAAACTCCCCGCGAAAATACAAAAAGAACAGTTTTATAAAATTCGAGAATCGTTTTATAAAACTCGAGAATCGTTTTATAAAACTCGAGAAATCGTTTTATAAAGCTCAAGAATCGTTTTATGAAACTCGAGAAATCGTTTTATGAAACTCGAGAAATCGTTTTATAAAACTCGAAGATCGTTTTATAAAACTCGAAGAAATCGTCTTATAAAACTCGAAGATCGTTTTATAAAACTCGAGAAATCGTTTTATAAAGCTCGAGAATCGTTTTATAAAACTCGAGAAATCATTTTATAAAACTCGAGGATCGTTTTATAAAACTCGAAGAAATCGTTTTATAAAGCTCGAGAATCGTTTTATAAAACTCGAGAAATCGTTTTATAAAACTCGAAGATCGTTTTATAAAACTCGAGAATCGTTTTATAAAACACGAGAAATCGTTTTATAAAACTCGAGAATCATTTTATAAAACTCGAGAATCGTTTTATAAAACTCGAGAAATCGTTTTATAAAACTCGAGAAATCGTTTTATAAAACTCGAGAATCGTTTTATAAAACTCAAAGATCGTTTTATAAAACTCGAAGATCGTTTTATAAAAACTCGAGAAATCATTTTATAAAACTCGAAGATCGTTTTATAAAACTCAAAGGTCGTTTTATNATCGTTTTATAAAACTCAAAGATCGTTTTATAAAACTCGAAGATCGTTTTATAAAAACTCGAGAAATCATTTTATAAAACTCGAAGATCGTTTTATAAAACTCAAAGGTCGTTTTATGAAATCCGAAGATCGTTTTATAAAACTCGAGAATCGTTTTACAAAACCGCAAAAAACCGAAAAAGCCGTAAAACGCGAACTAAGCCGGGCCCGGCTTAGTTCGCCGATGGGCGAACTAGAGACTTCTCGGACACTCCGCGTCTCGATTTCCCGCATTCCCGATTCGAAACTTACGTCTTTCGACAAGGTCGCATTCTGAACCACGGCCGAAATATCTCCCGTTCCATCTCGATCCGACTTACCGTTCGAGTTTTACAATAAAAACCGTAAAACTTCGTTTTCTCGGAAAGAACTCAAAGAAATCGTATAAAACGGCAACGGTTAAACGAAACACCGAACATTGCCTAAACTATACGATTTATTCGAGATTTCTCGTTAAAATCATAAAAACGCGCTTTTTAATAAAAAAACGTCGAGTAAGTCGTAAAAAACGTGTTTTTAATAAAAAGTTGAGTAAATCGCAAAACCTTGCGATTAACTCGAATAAATTATTAAAAACGACGTCAGATTGGAAAACGATCCCGTAAAAGTCGGAAAACGGATTTATCGCAAAACTGCCCGAAAGGACCTAAAACGCGATAAAAACCCATCTCGCGATCTTAACGGAATCTAACCCGCAAATTTGACAACGTTTTGACGGTTTACTCGCAGAAGGAAAATAAAAGTCAAGTTTAAAGATAAAAGGAAGGTTTGAAGAGAAATAGAAGATTTCCGCAGAAGAAAAGGAAG